ACCATTTTAAATCATTTGTATTCTTAAGCTTTACTATCAATTTGGAAGTTTCAAAATAAATCTTATTGTACTTGAACAATGACAAAGCTATTCTATTCAATTAGCTCATGCTCTCTCTGTATCTAACAAGCCATTGTTCAGTAATGCATTCAATATAATAATTAAAATAAATGATGGACTTTGTCAAAGATGACAGCTTTAATGAGGAAATGTTGTTTTGGAGAGGTTTTTATTTTTTATTTTTTTTACCATTGCTGCCCGGATCTTTTCAGTTTCCAACCGATTTTCCAGATGTTGAAACTCCTCCTCAGTTTCTCGAATGTCCTTTTTTGTTTGCCAGCTGCTCTCCGACAGGTAAACTTGGTGCTCTCTCGCGTAAAAACAAAATTCAAAACACAACACTGATCTCTACTAACTCTCGTGTCTCGCGTTGCCAGTAGTCATGTCTCAGTAGGGCTACAATTGCCATCTAGCGGTTGGGAATTGTAAATGCATTTTTATTTGAAAGAATATCATATAATGTGTATGAATGTAACATTTAACAGCTTGTGGGGTGCATGACATCATATTATCAAATGCAAGTAAACTTTTGAAACATTTAAATTAAATTATATTTAAATCGTGGCTACATATAGACCATGTCATAAAATGACACTTCACTCGCGCGCTCCGCTCCTCCGCCAAACGGTTTAGATCAGAGTAATAAATGCAAGAGATTCGAGTGGACTGTATAAGCACACAGGTGGAGCAGAGAAGCAAAATTACTGTTCAAGATTTCAAGTGCAGGTCAGTTTCATCTGGTAATCCATTTGCCAAAAAAAAAAAAAAACCTTGGTTACTGTACTTAAAAATAAAATAAAAATCCAAAGCATTGTTAGATGCAGTGTTTCCTGTAGTTATGCAAAGATTTGGTTTCAAAAACAGTATCAGTTAACTTTTTCTTATGATTTTAAAACTGCATTGAACTTCAGATCAATCTCAAAATAAAAGGCGGTAGCCTACTAAAGTCTGATTCTGTGGTGAATGTGTTCAAATTTTATCATCTTAATTCAAGTGATGAAGGATTTTGAAAGTCTGACAGCATCAGTGTCGAGCACTACTGTAAGGTTAACCCTGCATGGTGTAAATGTTTGAAAATGATTAACAGTTGAAAACATTCATTAGAAATGTAGAAAAGTAATCAAAAAGTAATCAAAAGTAATCAGTTACATTACTTTAATAAAGTAATTGAAAAAGTTACACTACTATTACTTTTAATGTTAATGTAAAATGTAATGTAATTTACATTAAAAGTAATTGAAAAAGTTACACTACTATTACTTTTAATGTAAATTACATTACATTTTAAATAGGGTAATTTGTAATCTGTAACCTATTACATTATTGCGGAGATGTTTGCCTTATTTTAAGTACAAATATCTAAAAATTCTTAAATCAAAATGCATTTTCTATATAAAAAGTAAAATACAATATTTAATGCAAATGCAAACAAGATTATTTTTCTCACCGCACCACTTTCATTTTCATCATGCAGACACGATAAATGTGACAAAAATGGCATGTCTTTTTACACGGGATCCTGTAGATGAGGAGGCTGTATTAATTCGTTACAATTACATCAGGAGAGAAATTTATTTTACTTTATTTTATTTTGTCATATCCACATGCATATTTATTTGAGCGGTACCACTTTTAATGACGTTCACTTGATAACATCTTGCTGTGACCTCTGGAAGTAACCTAATAATTAGAGTTTCCTTTAGGACATCCAGTGTGGTTGAATGCATTGTTGACATGCATATTCCTATAAATCGCGCCTTCCGAAAATGAAACTGATTACTGTTAGAGTGTGCAGTGCACGGATCCACACTTCAAAAATCGACCCGAAATAGTAGACCATCCGGGGCCTTTTGGCATAGGCCTACTCTTTTCAACATTCTATGCTTTGGGACACACTTATTCTAATGTCACATACTTTTTAGGATGGATAGTATGAACATTGGGACGCATGGATTGTCATTTTGAAAGAATCGATTGAATAAATGACTCAGTGACTCACTTATTAAGACAGTGGTTTGCCGCCACCTACTGGTAATTTTAGTTTCACATTCAAAAGTATTCTATTTTTTTCTACCATTTTTTTATTTCTATATAGACGTTTTTATATATAAAAATTAATATCATAACATTATTCATGCAGTTTTCAAGCGCAGTGTAAATGCATGTACAATTGCTATTGTTATTGTTTATGTGTGGAGGAAATTAGATATCCAGATGAAGTGTTGTAAGCGGACTCTGCCCCTCCACGCTGGCTGGATGACGGAAGAGGTGTGTCTAGTGGGGTCTAAGAGAAAGTGTATAATAATGTTGAATGAGCCACTTAGTGTAAACCCTATAGTTTTCTTCATGTGAAAACAGCAACTCAGCCACATAAATCAAAGCTCAACAATTGATGACATTAAATTATGTACACTGAACATATACAGTCTAAGTGAATGTGATGTGTTCAAGTCTCAAAAGTACTAATAATAGCATATTATTATTAGTAGTATATACGTATATTAGTATATATTAGTAAGCGTATTCCATGTATTTTGACACAAATGTCTCTGGGCTATGGGCCGGATATTTACTCACTCTAGAACCACCCCTGATTATTTACCATCAACCATAGATCATATTCACTAATAAGCAGTTGTAGGTTTCAATAGGGCTTCCATAATAACATGCATGTGTTTTTAAAAGGGGTCTATTTCACAATGAAACTCAGGTTCACCACATGGTGGAGCAGGTGTCCCACTGCAGTAGTCAGCTTGTGTTTTGAAACTGTGCATCAACCACATTCTATTCTATTCTATTCTATTATAAAAGTAGCAATGAACAAGGATATTAAAGAATTTTAATACTCTCGACAGTACAGTAACCTACTTCAACTGCTGTGACAGAATCTAATTGAAATGGCTCCCAGCCAATTACTTACAAATAAATGCTAAAAAATAAAATAATATAAATAAAATAATAAATAAATTATTAAAGAAATAAAATAATAGATGTAATGCACATTCTTAATAGTGGTTACATCCACTGTGTCCATATCCACTTCAATGATATACAACACCACTTCTAGGCAACACCACATTCAGCAGAACTGTGCAGTCTCCACATGGAGAAGGGTCTGGCTGCAGACATGCACTTGCATTTTCAGACTTGCACTCTCAGACACCTGCACTTCCGCGAGTGACATCACTTGCAGTCTTTTTTAAATTGTATTTAATTTATTCATTATTTTTTTTGATTGAATCTCTCAACATTTTACACAAGTAGCCAGGTGGTGACGACAAGAAAAAAAGAAACTAAATAACGAAGTCACTTGCAATCGCCGCTTGCACTCTCAGCTACTTGCAACCCACACGAATAGTGCGTGTTGCCAATGGAGACAGGACACTGTGGTGGTTAAATGATTAAAACAAATTTAGTACTATAACATACAGGGTCCTGCAAGTCATCTGTAGGAGAAAAAGACAAGACCCGCAAATCCGTGGCCACAGAACAGCAGAATATGAACGCAATGCGCAAAGTCTCTCTTTAAGCGCTTTTAAACCTCCTGTAGAAAACCATACACTTAATAGGCTATGGCTTAATGTATTAAGATAGTGCTATTAAAAGATCAAATTAAGTTTATTAATAATAATGTATGTATATAGTGTTTTCCTCCCATACTGCAAAAGGTGGCATAATGTGGCATAACGGTCTAAGATTATAAAGACCTCATATGCTCCTCTTCATTATTAAAACACAATTAATATGTACAGATAAGCAGGTGAGACCAGAATAGAGTTGGTCCATTTAATATCACTTAATGAATTTCTTAATGCGTTTTCATGGTCTGTGTAGTTTGCATCAACAATAAGAACTACTGAATTTGGTCTTTATCATCTTAGTCCGTTATGGCACATTAAGCGTTTTGCTGTAGGCGTATGGGAGGAAAAGTATAAGTTTGCTCGTTGTGTTCATGAGCATATGCTTGCCTTGTAGTAGCCTAGTACATTAAATGAATAAACTATATATCGAATTTGATCTTTTAATAGCACTATCTTAACACATTAAGCCATATTAAGTGTATGGTTTTCTACGGGAGAAAACTAATTGCATTCATATTCTGCTGTTCTGTGGCCACGGATTTGCGGGTCTTGTCTTTTTCTCCTACAGATGACTTGCAGGACGGACCCTGAATGTTATAGTACTAAATTTGTTTTAATCATTTAACCACCACAGCGTCTTGTCTCCATTGGCAACACGATAATGTATGTATATAGTGTTTTCCTCCCATACTGCAAAAGGTGGCATAATGTGGCATAACGGTCTAAGATTATAAAGACCTCATATGCTCCTCTTCATTATCCACATGGGGCACCAAAAATTTAAAACCACCGCCAGGACATGGTGAGACAAAGAAAAGCTTTCTATTGGTTCATGAGTCATCCTATCACTGTTTAGCATTTTAAATCTCATTTTACCATTTATCTTGCAAAATGAAAAAAAAAGGATTTGTTTCCCAGAGTCAACTTCATAAAGGGTTAATGATTATTAAGTGATTTCTAAGTATCTTTTGTATGTCACAAACACACATGCTCCAGTTTGTGTTACATCACCTCAGCTACATCCTAAGTACACAAACAAGTCTTTGTATGAAGGCACTGACCTTTCTTTATCAAAGCCTCAGATATCTAATCCATTCATCAGTGAAGGAGACAATATCTTGGCAGACAGCGGCCAAACTAACATGTGCTTGCCTGCATGCATTTAGCACAATGCCAATCAGTGGATGACGTCTAGACATCTGGCAGTGCAAGACACAGCTTGTTTAAGTCAAACTCCTTGTGTATTTGTGACAGTAATGCATTTGTCACTGTGAGCTTAAATGGGCATCCATGCCACTGAAAACACTCACAGACAAATGAATAGTGCTCCGATCACATTTTCGGTCTTACCAACAATGTTGGTGGAGCAATGGTATGTTTACCAATGTACAAGTTGAAATTTCTTTAAATTCCTTTGTGTTCTATTTGTAGGTCACACTGTAATAAAGCATAATTTGGTTGGAGATATTTAATTTTTTAGGTCTTATCAAACATACTTGAAACCTCATGAAAATAGGTTTACGTTAACTGTTTATAAAACACCACAAAAATCAGACATTTTGTTTAGTAAGAGAGTGGCATAGATGCCATGTTTTTTTTCTTTTTTCTGTGCTTTGAATGTTCAAGGTTACAGTAAATATTGTTTATGTGTGGAGGAAATTAGATATCCAGATGAAGTGTTGTAAGCGGACTCTGCCCCTCCATGCTGGCTGGATGACGGGAGAGGTGTGTCTAGTGGGGTCTAAGAGAAAGTGTATAATAATGCTGAATGAGCCACTTAGAGTAAACCCTATAGTTTTCTTCATGTGAAAACAGCAACTCAGCCACATAAATCAAAGCTCAACAATTGATGACATTAAATTATGTACACTGAACATATACAGTCTAAGTGAATGTGATGTGTTCAAGTCTCAAAAGTACTAATAATAGCATTTAAAGAATCTTTGGTATACAATTATTAGTTATTGTATCAAATAACCATTCTTTTTCAAAATCCACATGAAATCTGGTCAACAAAAACTAGTCAACAAAAGCACCATTGTCCTTGATCTGAGCAATCGATCACCTTTCCACAGTCACAGACAGTCAGTCTAAATGAGAAAAATAGCTCATGTAACCCAACACAAGCATGACTACATTTAATGCTTCAGTGTTTCCTATGTTGCTATTGTTATTTACAAGCACTTAAAGAAATAGTTCACTCAAAAATGAGAATTATGTAATAATTTACTTATACCCTCATGTTGTTCCAAATGTGTACTATATGACTTTTTTTCTTCTGTGAAACACAAAGAGGAGATATTTTAAATAATGTACTTATCACACTTTTCCATGTAATTACAATTAATGTGAGCTGAGGCCTTATTACCTTATTCTCCTTTTCACATACAAACATATACTGTGGTTTGAGACCTGGTCTATTATGATACTTTTATGGAGCTTTTGCATATATTGAAGCTTGAAAGGCTCAGTCCCCATTCATTAAAAGCACTTTCTCAAGTCAAATATATATCATGACAAAACAGTTTCTTTTTTCTTTGTTTCTTTTTGGTCTATTAAAAGTAAATTGCAAATAAATTTAAATATATAATGTTTTACAATATAAAATATAAAAAAAAAAAAAAGAAAAAAAAGAAAGGGGATGCTGCCACATGTATAAGACAACTGCCCCTGTACACCCTCAGTTCAAAGTTCACATCCCAATCTGAACTAAATACTGTGGTGGCACAAAGTTCATAACTTTATAGTGCTTAAATAAAAATATGAAATAAACAAAACTTAAAAGAAACTGCATATTAATTTTCCACCCGCTTTCTTTAAAAAGCCATTATTTAATGTAATAATAAATGAAGTAAACTAAAGTTAATCAGACACTGATAATCTGTGAATTGTTACGACAAATTAACTAAATAAAAAAAATCTGGTTCATTTCAGAGATCTTATTATTCAAAGCTAACAACTGAGACTGAGCTAAATGCTAAATGTTATAACACCCACTGAATACACCATGACTCTGCGTCTAGAGAAAGGAAAAGAAAATGATTTCTATGGTGATCTGTTTGTATGGAGACTCAGTATCAGTAGGTTCCAAGCACAACATCATGTGACAGCAGGCTGAAGTGACAGTGGGGGGAGCGGCACTGACAGCATGGCACTGGATGATGGACTTTGATTTTTTTAGGCTGTCCTCACTAAAGTTTACTGGACTAAGCAAAACCTGTGGGACTTGAAGGTAATTTAAGCTGGACAGACTATAACAAATTACTAAAATACCATAACAAATTTCTAAAAAGTATCATCTAAATAAATATGCAATGCTTTAGGATATGTAAATGTAAATAATAATAATTTTTCCTCTCTTTTTTAGCAAACAACTGTGAACATGAAATTGTATCTGGTTCTTGCCTTTGTGGCATTCACAGGTAAATCAAATATGGCAAGAAGCTAAAATACTATTTATCAATTAAAATAATATTAGATCTATGCCAAGACTTGCACTGAATTTTCATTATTAATTTAATTTTAAATAACCATAACAAAAGAGCAATACAAATTAAATGATTTTGAGAATTATTATTTTTTTTAAATATACTAAGAAACTACAAATATGCCAAAGTACTCATACTGCAATGTTTAGCTGTTTGAGCAAATTTGAAAAATGACTGTCAAACTTAAACTTAATTATTTGTATTTTTACCAGGTAGCCAAGCCAACCTGTTTTATGCTGATGAGCCCAAGCCACAGCTGGAGCAGCTGACAGATGCTTTCTGGAGTTATGTTGCCCAGGCCACACGCACCGCAGAGGACACCCTGAAAATGATCAGAGAGTCTCAACTGGGTCAGGAAGTCAAGTAAGTAATGTTCAGAAGTCACAGTCTATGTTTTAAATACTAAAATCTTGAATTGCATTAATGCAAATACACTTTTCACATCACAGTGTCAGGCTGACCCAGAGTGCTGATATGGCCAGCGAATATGCTGTCACCCTCAAGAAACAGATGGATCCTCTGGCTGAAGAGCTGATGACCAAAATCACCAAGGAGGCTGAAGTGTTGAGGGAGCGTCTGGGCCAGGACTTGATCAACGTAAGAGACAAACTGGAGCCCTATGCTGACAACCTCAAGAGCCAAATCCAGCAGAGAGTGGAGGAGCTCAGGACGGCCATGGCTCCATATGCTGACTCCCTGGATTCTGAGACCCTGAAGGCCACTCTGCTCCAGAAGAGTGAGGAGCTGAGAGGAAACCTGGAGCAGAGCGTGAAGGAGCTGCAGGCTCAGCTGGAGCCCTACACTGCTGAGATCAAGGAGAAAGTGGACCAGCGTCTGCAGGAGTTTCAGAAGACCGTGACCCCCCTGGCTGAGAATCTTCAGGCCCAGATTAGAGAGAGAGCCCAGATGGTCCAGCAGAGTCTCACACCCTATGCTGAAGACCTGAAGGAAAAGCTGGACCCCTACGCACAGGACCTGAAGGCCCAGCTCACCTCCCTGTACGAGTCCTTCGCCAAAAGAATTTAGATGCTTCAAAGACTTCTTTAGTCACTAACAGAACTGTTTTTCCTTCCATTGTGACTCTAAAATCCCATATCTCTCCAATAACCATGTCATAAATCAAACTACTAGGCAACAACATCTTTTTGGTATTACATGTAGACCAAACACTAATATAGAGAAAAAGAGTGATTCTTTTTTCTGAAATCCTGTTGTTTACACCTTAACCATTCATACAGATGCAGAAATGTTGCTCTTTTCTAACTGTTGTGTATTTATTTCAATTTAGCAAGTCTTTATATCGTCTGACAGAAAATGTTGTTTCTTGCAAATGCAAAGTGTATCATTTGTCTTATTTATGCAACAATAAAACATCTGCCATTTATTAACACAATGTTTCTAAATATTTTATGTGTCTAGTTGTGTCGATCAGCACAAATGAATTGTCATATACTTCTAAATATTACATTTAATAGCCCTGACAATGCACAAAGTCAAGACGACATACTTTAAAAAAAATCACCAGACAAAATTGGTATGTTTTCATTTATATACAAATAGGGTTTATTTATATAACCATTCTAGAAAATAATAATTCAAGAGTGACTGTCCGGTTTGAAATGTTCAAATGTGGCATTTGACACCATATCTAATACACAGACAGAAATATAATATTTCTAAAAGTCTAAAAAGAAAGTCTGAGAAATCATGCAGAAATGATAAAGGTCATCTCAACTGATTTCTTTTAACACATAATAAAGATTAGATAAGGTTAAGAACTTTCCAAAGGTACAGTCACTTCTGGCTGTACTAATGATAGATCATTCATTAACATAATGTCTGTACTTCATTATCAGTGCTGACGCAGGTGTACGCAGTAACTCATGGGCCTGGTGCTTTCAAGTGATGTCCAGACCTGCACATCTTGAGACAAAGAGTCTGTAGACACAAAGTATCCAGATATAATATGATATGATATGATGATGCCAACCCCTCAGAGGACCTCAGATGATGCCAACCCTGAAACAACATACAGAACTACCACATTTTGCTATAAGTTTGATTGCATCATATAATAATTTCTGTTAATAGTGTTCATCGTCTGTTTGATTACGTCTTTAATTGATTTTCCCGTACATTTCTGCCATATGTACATTAACTGACAGTTACCACTGATAAGCTACCACTAAATAATGTAGAAACTTAATTTGCTGTAAAGTTGCTTTGCAACGATTTATCGTGAAAAGCGCTATACAAATAAACTTGAATTGAATTGAATTGAATTGAATTGAATATAAACATCCACTGGAGATATTAAAATATATTCCCAATGCTATATAAATACAGCTATGAAACAGCCATCACCACACTTGCTCTTCACACCAGACCGGGTAAATTAAATCATACTGACAAAGGTAAGAAGAGAAATTCACCATTTATAAGTTCAAAATATGTTGTATGTAAAATATGATTGTTTAAATTAACCAGATGTGTTGTTATTTTACAGGCTAAGCCAGAAAACCATGAAGGCTCTTACGGTTCTTGCATTGGCTGTTTTTACAGGTTAGACATACAGTATAGCTGCTGAAATAACTTACTTTTTTATAATAATATAATATAATATAATATAATAATTCAAACAGGATATTATATACGTTTAATTTACATTATAGTTCCTAGTGGATGAAACATAGTGTTCAAAAAGTTTAGACAAATGAATTTGTTTCTTGTGATCTTAAAGGGGTCATATGATGCTGCTGAAAAGAACATTATTTTGTGTATTTGGTGTAATGAAATGTGTTTATGC